TGCAGGCTGGACACCAGCAAGTTTTCAGGGGACTTCAGTGCCCATTGAAACTGGAGCCCCGGTGCCTGAGATCACGCAGGGCAGGGACTGCAATGCCCATTTTATAGTCAAGGGCACTGAGGCCCAGAGAGTTTTCCAGTCGCCGTCCCAAGGTTGGAACCTGGCAGACTAGCCTAACGGAAGGCGCACTGGCTTGGGAGTCAGGCACTTCTAGGTTCACGTTCCTGCTCCTCTCCTTCCAAGCCTGAAGCCAGACCTGGATCTAGATCAGGTTCGCAGATCCAGATCACAGGCTGTATGCAGCTTTCTAGCTAAGAATGCTTTTTACATTTTCTAAGTGGTTGAAAAAAAATCAAAAGAATAATATTTTGTGACGTGAAAATTATGTAAAATTCAAATTCGTGTCCATTAGATTTATTGGAATATAGCCACGCTCACTGATTTATATATTGTCTACGGCTGTTTTCCTGCTACAGAAGCAGGCTGAGTAATGGCAACAGAGACTGTAGGCCCACAAAGCCTGAAATAGTTCCTATCTGGTGCTTTTCAGAAAAAGTTGGGCAACTCCTGGCCTACAGCAGAGATTCTCAAATGTTAGCTGCAGCAGAATCACCTGGAGGGCTTGTGAAAACAGATTGCTGGGCCCCGCCCCAGAGTTTCTGCTTCAGCCAGTCTGGGGTGGGGCCTGAGAACCTGCATTTCTGACAAGCTCCCAGGTAGTGCTGATGCTAGACCCACACCTGGAGGATCCTGGTTTAGAGGAACTTGGGTCTTCAAAGCGGGCCCTCAGCCCCACCCCAGAAGCTCATAGCCCACCCACGGGGCGGGAGGGGCTGGAGGAGAAGAGAGAGAGGAGGGAAAAGCTTCCACGGTCTGGTCCCATCTCATCCGCCGGTGCACCAGCCCCTCTTCCAGGCTGTCCTTGTGCTGGTATCTGCTCCCCCCTGGTGGCAGCAAGCTTGGAGCTGGCCTGGCACGTTCAGCCTTAATAGCCCATCCCTCCATTTGGAAACACATTTCAAAGCTTTCAAAGTTTGCGCGTCCTTTCCCCTAGGGAGTCCGCTTCTAGGAGTTTAATCCAAGAAAAGAATCGAGGATGCGTGCCAGGATGCTCATAGCTGCACTGTTTGTAAGAGGGCAAAACAGGAGACCCGGGCAGTCACTTGACACGGTCACACAGCTGGTGAGGAGCCCAGGCAGGATCTGAACTTGGGTCTGTCTGACTTGAGAGCGGGTGCCCTCGACTGCTGCACCACACAGCCCCTCAGGGTCCTCCCACCTGCCATCACAGAGCAGCGATGAGAGCATTGACTCCAGAGCTGAACTGCCTTGTGTTGAATCTCTGTTCTATTACTGATTGTGCAATGTCGGGCAAGTCACTTAACTGCTCTGTGTCTCAGTGTTCCCATCTGGAAAAGGGAACATGAGTTAACATGAGAGCTTAGCAGCGCGCACTGTGTGAGCTGCTATTATTATCACTTATGACACCCCCACCTTCCTCCTTCTTTGCCCTTCCCCCTCCTTTTGTCTTCTTAACTGGCTCAAAGCACTGCGGGTCACCGGGAGAGGCAGGCTGGTCCGGATCCACTGGGGCAGAGCTGGAGGAGCCGGGATGGGGCACTGAGGCCAGGAGGCTGCAGAGAGTAGGGCCACACATGCTGCTCTGAGAACTGCCCCCACCCACAGGCTGGGCCCCTATAGTCTGGGTAATAGGGCACAGAGCTTAACACATGGATCCCTGGGCTAAATAGGCCTAGACCTAAATCCTAGATCTTCTGTAGATGTGCGCAAGTAGCATCCCCTCTCTGAGCCTCAGTGTTCTTATCCATAGAATGGGAGCAGTAAGATGAGAGCAGCGGTTCTCGAAGTGTGGTCCCAGGCAGCAGCAGCATCACCTGGGAGCCCTTAGGAAATGCAAATCCTAACAAGCCCTCTGGTGATGCCCATGAAGTTGGAAAACATGGGATTCGCACATCCCCTCCATAGGCTTGTTATGACTGTTCACGAGAGAATACACGCTGGGCACCTAGCTCCATAATCGTGAGCTGCTGTTATTGTTACATGCCTGCTCCTTCTTGGCCTCAGCTGATGGGGCCAGCCGTATCCTGGCTCCAAGCTGAGCTGACCACAGCTCCTCTCCTGGGACCTGGGAATTGGAGATGTCAGTCTCTGTGTCCCTTCCGTGTGGCGTAGGGGCTAACTTGGTGGTCAACGCTGCTGTTTGGAGGCATCCATTTTTCTCTATTTGCTTTAACAGTCGAGAAGGCCGATCTGCAGAGAGAGGCTCAGAGGAGGAGGTCCCAGAGAGAGACACGGCTGCCCTGGTCGGGGGGCACCCATGTCCACTGAGACAGGCTGTCCCGCCTCCTCCTGGGTCCTGGAGGACACCTCTGGGCCTCCTGATAAGTCCCTCCTTTTCTCCTAAGTTGGTTTGAGGAGGTTTCTGTCACTTGCAATTAAAAGGGGTCTGGCATGTTGAGGGCTGGGAGTCAGGGTCAAGGTGGGTGTACGAAGGTCAAGGGTCACAGGCCTGAGGGGAACCACTTCCCCTCCTTCCCCTGCCAAGCTGCTAGCCCAGCCGGGAGATCCGAGTTTCAACCCCATCCCCATCCCTATGAGGAGGGACAAAGGGGAAAAGGAGGCGGCTGGGCAGTGATGGAATAGTCCCGAGACCCATCTGAGGTCAGCTCTGGGCTCCCCGTTATTCTTGGTCCTGGTTCCTGTGATGACACCTCAGCTGTCACCCCAGAGAGCTGTGGTGGTGAACCCTCCCCACCGGGTGGAGTAGAGCGATATTCACCAATAATAAAGGTGAAGGGTTTAGATAAACTCATGTTTGTGCAGAGCAAGGAATGTTTGACTGTGATGGGCTGAACACGCAGAGAGAGCCCTGGATTTCTGGCAGATCCGGAAGCCGGGTGGGGAGGTCTCAAAGAGGGTATGGCCGGCTTTGCCTGGGTCCTGGCAGCGAGACGGGGTGCCCTGCATGTGCTCGACACCAGCAGCTAGATCTGCTCTTGGAGTGGAGTGTAGCCCTGTATGGACAGACCCAACAGCTGAGGCTCGAGAATGTGGACTCCTGGGGTCCAATGGGTTCAGGCGAGAGGCTGGGGGACCATGGAGGGGGCTGCAGAAGGGGATTCCAGGAGGTGTAGGGGGCTAAGAAGTGGTATGTCTACAGGTTTAGCAAGAGCTTTCAGACAAAGAGAAGCAGGCTCCAATCCCAGCTGTGCACCTGTCAGCTGTGTGACCCTGGGCAAATCGCTTGCCCTCTCTGAGCCTCAGATTCTTATTTGTAAGATGGGGATAATACTATGTAACTCCTAGGGTCTGTGGTGGGGATGGAGTGAGCTAATGTACACAAAGCACTAGGTGCACTCAACTCAACTGTGCAGTGTAACTCAACTGTGGTGTGGTTATGATGATGATAACTGTTATTACTAGACTCAAAGGCCCAGCAGACAGTTTGTACTAAAAGGGTTGAGCAGCAAAAGAAGGCCTAGCCCCTGGAGAAAAGGCTCCAGGTCCCTGTTGGAGAGCCTGAAGTTACGGCAGGTCATCAAGGCCAGGCCTGAGGCCCAGAAGATGCGGCAGGAGCTGCGCCCAATGAACGGAGTCCTGAGAAACACGGCAGCCAAACAGGAGGCTGGACTGGCGCCATGACGCTATGTGATTGGCCGGAGTGCCTTAAACCCCTCCTACCTCGGGCCAGGATTGGCCGACGGTCTTGGTGGCGTAGGCTAGTAGGAGGGGCTGCAGAGAGCAGGTGCGGGGCTGGGACGCTGGAGGCGTCCTGTGCCTGTCTTGGCCCCTCAGGCAACGAGTCTTTATTGAGAGGCCGCTGTGCATCTTGGGCTCTGCGGGGTTCAGAGATGGGCAGGGGAAGGAGCTCACGGCCTGGTGGGCGGATGGTGTGGGCATGGGTGAAAAGCCAGATGCAGGTTGTGCGTGCTCAGCCCTGAACAAGTGAGAAATGGGGTTGGAGGAGGTCAGAGGGGTGAGAGCTGTGAGGCTGGGATGGCCGGGCTTCAGGGAGGAGGTGCGGCTTGAATGAGGTTTTCAAGGACTTAGATAGGCAGAGGGGAGGGAGAGCGCGAGAGTAAGGGCACGAGGCAGGACAGCGTGTGCTTGCCTGGAGGACAGAAAGGGCCCAGCTGGTCTGGGTAGAGATATTCTCCCTCCAGGAGAGGAAGGAGAGGGGCTGGGAGGTCAACCCATAGAGAGCCTTGAAGGCCAGGCTTGTGGGCTGGGACTATATCCAGTGGACAGTGGGGAGCCACGGAAGGTTACTGAGCAGGGGAGTGACATTTGTTCTAACTGGATGGCTGAGCTTGTGCCAGGTTGGGAAGATATTGGAAGGGGAGCATATGGGGAGAATCAAAAGGGGAAGGGTCTTGGATCCAAGGTCAACCAAGGCGGACCCCTCTATCCCTTGGGTGGGCGTTTATGAAGTTACAAGCAGAAAGCTCCTTTGGGGGCTGGCCTAGACATGTTGCCTTGAAAGAGGTCTCAGGTCGTCAGTGGGCAGACCTGCCTTTGAATCCCAGCTCTGCTGTGGGATCAAGGACAATCCCTTTATCCCTCTGATCCTCAGTCTTCTCCCCTGTAAACTGGGCACGATGCAACCTATCGCCAAGGATGAGTGTGAGGACTAATGAGAGAACAAGGAAAGGGTCCAGCCCAGGGCTTGGAGCACAGTAGGTGCTCAGTAGATGGTGTTCTCACCCCGTCTCCCACTGTGTGGCTGTCAGAGGGCTGGACATAGAGTCTGACCCTCCGATCACCTCCGATTAGGGAGAGTTTCTATTTTCAGAAGTCATTCATTCATTCATTCATTCATTGTTTAGTCATTCAGCCAGCATTCAAGCAGCATTGCTGAGCGCCTGCTGTGTGCTAGGTGCTGGACACAGAGTTGAATCAGACCAGTGTCCCTTGGCCTTGAGGAGTTTATTGACGCATTCGTTCAGCAACACCCATGGAGCCCTGCTGCGCGCTTTGGCTGGGTGGGGGTGGTGCTGGGGTAGAGTGAGCAGTGCTGGCGGCAGAGCGGGTGGGGAGGGGGTGAGGCAGCCCCACAGGTCAGGCCTCCATGTCCGGGAAGAGCAGGAACCCAGAGAAGATGCTGTTGGCGCCTTCGATGCCCAGCAGGGAGTTCCTGTCGGTGGCCTGCAGGAAGACGCTCTCCCCGACTTCCAGCTTGAGGACTATGCTGCCCGTGGTGACCTGGAAGGTGCTGTGGACAAAGTCGCAGAAGGTGACCACCTTCTGCATGCGCTCGCGGCCGCGGACGAGGTTCACGCACAGGTTCCCCCGCGAGCTGGCGTGGTAGGTGAAGTAGTAGAGGCCGGGAACCCTGCAGGTGAACTTGCCGCTGCGAGGCTCGTAGTTTTGGTTCTCGTTGGTGATCACGTGGTCAAAGCGGATGGCCTGGTCCTTCCGCAGGGGGCTGTTGATGGTCCGTGTGGCAGAGAAGGCGATTTTTTGTGTGGCCTTGTAGTCTCCCGATTCACCCTTGGGCCCACGGGCTCCAGGGGGCCCTGGGGAACCTTTGGGGCCAACGGGGCCCTTGGGGCCGACTTTTCCTGGCGTCCCAGGAGTCCCTGGTTCCCCCTTCTGTCCGAACTCGCCATGGTCTCCTGCTAGCCCTGGCAGCCCTGGAAAAGCAGAGACAAGAGAGATGAGGCGACCAGCGATCACTGAGAACCCAAGGAGGAAGCCCTAGGCTGGAAGCAGGGAGCCTGGCTGTGTGACCTCGGGCAGGTCCCCTCCTCTCTGGGCCTCAGCTTACCATCTGTGAAGAAGAGGAGGAGGGTCAGAGAGGGCCTCTGAGTCTCCTTCCAGCCCAGCTTTCCGAGTCTGATGTGCTTGACGGCAGTGGGGACAGACGCCCAGGGGGTGGGGAGCAGTGTCTCCCTAAGGAATGTGCTGGGCTCCCTAAGGAATGTATGAGCTCACCCCAGCTCATACAGGCACCCTTGTTTGGGTGTAAGCCTGGAGCAGGGATTATACATTCTTGGCCCACGTGCTGCCTCTCTCCACTCGCTCTCCCATGGCAGACATCCTTAATCAATTGCGGCATTCTTTCTTGCTGACCCTGGAAGTGGGCCTTAGGATCCTTCTCACTCCACCACTCAGAGCAGCCACGACCCCTTGGTTTGGCACAACACAAGAGAACTCTCTTTTCCAGTAGAGTGGCAGAGTATAGTGGCTGAGAACATGGGCTCAGAGGACAGACAGATGTGCTTCTCACGCCACATCTACCATCATTAGTTGTGTCACCTTGACTGAGTCACATTCTCCAAGGCTCAGCTTCCTCATCTGTGAAATGGGGATGATGGTATTTTGTGGGATCGTGAGGATTAAATGAGGAGAGTGTTGGCTATGGCGAAATGAATAAATGAACTGCATTTTGCAGGAGGGTTTTCACAGTGAGAAGTCTCATTTGAACCCTGCGACAACCCCGCAAAAGTATCATCGTCTCCATCTTACACGTGAGAAAGTAGCAATTCAGAGAGGCGCAGCCGCTTGTCCTAGAGGTAACCCAGGACCGCATGGCCGCAGTGGAGTCCCCTCTATACCTGGATTTAGTGGTAAGAGAGCTGTGGTCTGTTCTTGGCCTCAACGTTTACTGGGCTCCCTTGGGCAAGTCAGTAGTCCTTCTGGACATCAGTTTTCCCGTCTGTAAAATGGGGATCAGAATTCCCTCTTTGCAAACTTATTGCGAGGGCTCAGCAAGCTGGTGGATTTGCAAATGCTTTTGCAATCTCTAAGGGGGGGCAACTGTGACCTGGGAGGCAGGAGATGGGGCCTTGTTGAGTGACATGAGTGTGTCCCCAAAGCCCGCAGTACCTTTCTCTCCCTTTATCCCCGGGATCCCAGGTTTGCCGTCAGAGCCAGGTGCCCCCGGGATGCCTGGGATGCCAGGAATGCCCCGGTACCCAGGGCAGCTGCCCTGGGCCTGGGAGACGTCCAGTAGACCCAGGAGCAGCAGCAGCAGCAGCAGCATCGCCACGATGCTGCCTATCAGGGTCTTCATCTCTGCACTGTCTCAGCTGCTTCCTGCGGGGGGACAAGAAGATGGGCCAGGTTACTACCGGGGAGACTCCTCGCGCTTGTTCATTCATTCCTTCCTTTGTTCACGTGGTCACCGAGGGTGTGCTAGCCACCGACCCTGCTCTGAGTGCGGGGGACACAGGGATGAGCAAGACAGACGTGTCCTCTGCCTTCGTGAAGCCGACAGCCTAGGAGAAGACAGACGAGGAGTTAGAGACCGTGCTGCGTGCTCTCTTATAGAAATGAAAGGGTACCCGAGGCAGAGTAACTGGCTGGGGTGGGAGGTGGCTGGTTTTGTGGGGGAAGTCCTCCCACCGGGACAGTTTGCTAGACAGGGGAGGGGTCGCTGAGAAGTGATGTGTAGGCCGAGAGCTGAAGATTCAGAAAAGGCTGGGGCAAGGATGTTCCAGGAGGAGAGGAGAGGACAGCGGAGGCCAAGGCCTGGAGGTGGGACACAGCCTGGAGTGCTGAGGACCAGCAGGGAGGCAGGTGTGGCCAGAGGGGAGTGAGGGGGCCAAGTGACCGGAGATCGGGGCCTTGATGGCTGTGGTGTGCGGGTTTTGGATTTTATTGCAAGTGTTCTCATTCATTAGAGCTTCTGAATTCAGGACGCCCCGGCTGCTTCCAAGTGGGCCATTTTATATCCTCAGAGCAGCCCTGCATGGGCGAAGCTGTTATTTCTACACCGAAGAGGAGACTGAGGCTCAGAGAGGCCCAGTCACTTGCTCAGGGTCACACAGGAAGGACTGCAGCTGGGACTTGAACCCAGGCCTTTGTGGCACTGAAGCCAGTGTCCCTGCCAAGCATGCCAGGCCATCCCTTCTGGCGGAATATTCTCAGGTCCCTCCAAAGGCTGTGGGCCTGGTGAGAGGGCGGTGCTGGCCCCGTCTTAATCCCAGAGAACAAGGAAGAAGCCCTTGGCTGTCTTGAGCTGGTCAGCAGGGCCAGTGCCCCGTGGCATCAATTCTCAGGACAGAAGGGACCTGAAAATTCATCTAGTCCAACCCTTAGCCTGTTCTTTTTTTTCAACTGAGGCAACATTCATATAACATAAATTAACCATTTTAAAGAAAACATTTCAGTGGCACTTAGCATTTGCGATATTGTGCAACCACTGCCTCTCTCTGGTTCCCAAACATTTTCATCATCCCAGACTTACAGCCTGTACTCATGAAGCAGTACTCAATCCCTCTTCCCCCCTCATCCCCTGACAACTGCTAATCTGCTTTCTGACTCTGTGGATTTACCTATTCTAGATATTTTGTATAAATGGAATCACACAATATGTGACCTTTTGTGCCTGGCTTATTTCATTTAGCTTCATGTTTTTGAGGTTCATCTACGTTGTAACACGTATCAGTACTTCATTCCTTTTTATGGCTGAATAATATTCCATTGTATGGACATATTATGATTTGTTTATCCATTCATTATTAGTGGGCATTTGGGAAGTTTCACCTTTTGGCTATTGTGAATAATGCTGCTATGAACATTCACGTACAAGGATTTGTTTGAATACCTATTTTTGGTCATTCTATGTTTAACTTTTTGAGGAACCCTCAATCTACTGTTAAGTCTCCTCAATAACATCTCTGCCAAGGACTTTTCCATCCATGGCTTGCACCTTGTCAGTGATGGGCATCTCATTACCTGCCAAGGCAGCCACTCCAGCTTTGCCCAGATCCAAATTCTCCCCATCCTTCAAGGCTCAGGTCAAAGGCTTTCTCCTCCAGGAAGCCTTCCCTCATACCCCTTTATCCCACAGAGGCTGAGCTGTTTTCTGCTCTTAAAATAGGAGAGCAGAGTGGTCCCTGTCCACCTCCCAGGACAGCTGAGGATCCAGGAGGGGCCACGGCTGGGAAAGAGTCATGGAATTCCGAGCTCTTGTTCAGCCTCGTTGCTGCTGCTGTCTGATCCTCACAGCGCTCTGGGGAAGCGGGTTGTGATTATTTCCCCATCTTGCAGATGGGGAAACTGAGGCTCCAACATTAGAAAGCAACCTGCCCCAAGTTACCTGGCAAGTTGGTGAATGGCAGAACTGTGGCCAAACCCCTGCCCTCTCTGCCTCATGCTGGCTGTACCAGCCCGGAATCTGGCACGTGGAGGCCTTCCTGAGACCAGAACAGCCGGCTGATTTTTGGCTCCTGAGCTCAGAAAATCGACCTCAGCCTCTCAGTCTAGCCCTAACCCACTTACTGCCCAGACCCCCGAGTTATGCCAGAACCTGTGGTGGGCACCAAGGACAGTGGGGCTACAGAGACGGGTGTGGGCAGGGCCACAGGTGACCAGCGTAGGCTCTGTCGTGCTCCCAAGAGTGGTGGCTCAGGGGCTGCTCCCGATTAACTTTGAGTAAGCATCAGTTCCCACTCTTGCTGGAGGTTTCACAAGATGACAGTTTGACAACTTGAATAACCCATGCGTTGGGCACTTAGCAGGTGCCAGGCTCTGTCCCAAATGCTTTGCGTGCCATTATCTCATTTAATTTGGTCCTTATGGCAACTCCCGGAGAGAGCACCCCTGCTTTCTCGTTTTACAGAAAGGAAACTGGGGATCAGAGAGGGAGAGAGGGTCGATCAAGGTCACACAGCCCCCGCGCGGCTGGGATTCAAACCCACTCCCACTCAATCTGGAAACTCACGGGGGGCTACATCGAGGTCGTTCCACCTGGTGGTTAAAACACGGCTTTGGAGCCCGACAGCCTGGCAGAGGAGCTCAAGCACGGGCTGCACTTGGAGCAGGGCAGGGTGCGCGGCCTGGCGAAGCTTTTATCATTACTGTGACTGCTGCGATCGTTAGGCAGCAAACATTCCCCGGTGGTGAGAGGCCCAGAGCGTCATAAGGGAAGCAGTGCTGCCAGGGTCCAAACCTCTGCCACTTCCTAGCTAAGGACTTGGGCTGGTCACCTCTCCTCTCTGGCCTCTCCTCTCTGGTCCCCTTCTATAAAATGGAGATAATGCTAATCTCTACCTGGTAGGGTTGTTGGGAGGACAGACGAGTTAGGGCTTACGACAGAGTCCGGCATGTTGGAAATGCTTAATGAATATTAGCTATTTTTTTAGTTATCACCATCATCCAAGAATCCCCAAGTTTCGGGACATGATGGAAGATGGTTGGAAAAGTAAAAAGGGATCTGGTCCTTTGGGAGATTGGGCTCAGAAAGAGGGGGTCTCAGGCAGAGGCAGCCCAGGGGTGGAGAGCTCTGACCGGCTGCCGGGGGTTGGGGGGAGCATCCTGACCGATGAAGAGACTTAGATTTCTTTGGGAAGCAGGAGGTGAGGTGGAGGGAGTGGGAAGATCTGGGTTCTGGCCCATTTCAGAGGCTGCTGAGTCTTAGACTTGGGCAAGGACTTAAAACTCGTCAGGTCTGACCGCCCCTGCCTTCACCCTCCGTCACCCCCAGCAGCCTTGCTCCTCACGTCTTTCCCCACATCACTGACCCTTCCATCTCCTTCCAGCCGCAACAGTCCCTTTTCCCCTCACTTGGAGTCAGGCCAACTTGACCTCGAATCCCCCTCGCCTATGCTGCTACGTTGCTGCATGACCTCAGGCAAGTGCCTTAACCTCTCTGAGCCTCTTTGGCAAAGTTCATTTCTACCTGACAGGGCTGCCAGAGGGTTAAATGAGATGGAACCTAAAAGGAAGGAGGTCCCCAGCGCAGTGCCTGATCCCACTCCTCCTTGACGAACGTTTTTGAGTTCTCTTAGGACTAATAGCTAGTCACAATTCTGCCTGCAAGTCAAGTTACTTCCTTGAAAGTCAAGCTGAGCCTTCTTAGCAGACTGCGAGGAACTAAGAGAAGGCAGGTGTTGGAGAAATGCTGGGCTGGGTGGAGGGGGACCTGCGTTCTAATTTCACCTCTGCCTCTGACATATTTTGAACCAGATAGTGTGCTGAGCACTGGCTAAGTTTGATCTCTTTTGGGGCTCACAGCACCCCTGAAAGGTTCTATTATCCCCAGAGAGGGTCCAGGCTCAGAGAGGATATGTGACTTGGCCCAGATCACCAGCACCTAAGAGGCAGAAGCAGGACTCAGCTCCAGTCTCGGTGACCCCAAAGCCCTCATGCTGGTGGCTCCCATTTTAGGCTGTCTCCCTATCACCTGGGGCCCCAGGTACCAGCAGACCCCCAAGCTCACCCCCAGAGAGTTTGATTCCCAAGGTCTGGGATTGGGCCCAGGAACCCTCACTGTTCAACACCCCAGGTGGCTCTGAGGCAGGGGATGCAAGGCCTACACTTTGGGAATCACCACCCTCCACCGTATTGGCCCTGCTGGCAAGTCCCCCCAGGCGCCGACCCCATCCTCACCTGGGAACTCGGCCTCCTGTGATGCTTCTGGGCTGGGCAGCAGTGGGACTAGGAGCCGGGAGCCTGCTGCTCTCAGTCCAAAGCGGAAGTTCCATTCCCCGGAGACAGGAAGGGCCTTCCCCTGGCAGCTCCCACCCAGGGGCCCCGCAGGCTGGCCCCCCTCCCCGTCACCCCACTTGTACCCTGTCCTGCTGCCCTCAGGCAGTTTCAGGTCCTGTTTCTGCAATCTGGAGGGGTTTACTGTAAATAGGGTGGGTGGGTGGTGAGTTTGGTTTCGCCGGCTCAGCAGCTGTGGGGAGAAAGGCTGTCCTGGGAGATGTCCCCAACTGGTGGCTAACTGCCAAGGGCCCTGCTCTCACGGTCTTCTACGGGGAACGGGGTGTTCCTCAATGAAATGAAAACGTGGCCGGCCTGGCGCCTGAGCGCTGGATTTGGAGTAGAAGCCTTGATTCGCGTTCCGGCTCCGCCACTTAGCAGCCAAGGGAGCTCAAGGGAGCCCCAATTTCCTCTGCTTTACGATGGGACCGTAATTGCACCTGCTCTGCAGATCATAGAGGGCGCTGGGGGCTCAGATGGGACGGTGGAGGAGAAAGAGGAGGGTAAACTGTGAAGTGCAGGGTACATGCTAATTGTTAACATCATGCCACGTCCCAGGCTTCCCCTTTCTGGGCTCGTCTCTTCTGCTTTCTTCTCATATGGCACTCCTGCTCTTTCCCTGTTCTCAGAACATAATCTAATCATGAAAAATGAATTTAAAACGTGGGCATTATTTATTTATGTCCCTTCCTCTACTTCCAGCAAGGCTTGAAGCTGATGACAGTAACAGGCATGGGCAGGGGCCTGTTGCTTGTTGATCCTGGAGTCACACTCAGTCAGGGCTTGCAGGTCACCAGGCCCATCCCGCTCATTTCACGTATGAGGAAACTGAGGCCCAGGGGGCAGAGAGTCGTCATGCAACAGATACTTATGGTGAATAAATATCTCTGTGTGCTAGGCCCTGGAGAGACAGCCACAAGCAGATCAGCCGTGGTTCCTGCCCCATGGAGCATCCCTTCCACTGGAGGAGACTTGTGTTAATGACACAACGGTTTCACTGCTCCTGTGATACGTGTCACAATAAAGGAGTGACTGCTGGAACCCACACCTCGTGCAAGAGGCAGATGCAGGATTCGGAGCTGGACGTCAGCCCCTTAGCGAGGCTGCGGCTAAGGCTCCGTGGCCCTCTCAGGGAGAGTTGTCGCCCAGCACCGGGAGCTGCTGTGGGTCAGCAGGGCCCTCTGACAGCTGTGCTTGGAGATGGAAAATCGCTGGGCTTGTGGACGCCGCCTGATGGGAATGAAGTGTTGCCTGCAGTGCTGAAGGGAAAGAGGAGACCAGTTTGATCAAACCGAAGGGTCTCTGGGCTCAGCCGACTATAGACCCAAGGGGCCCAGGCCTGGGGGGAGGAGAAGGCAGTGGGCTCTGAGCAGGTCCAGGGGTCCGTCTGAGGGCTCCTGAGGCCGTGTGGCCCTGGGCCTCTAATTCTTCAGTGGCCACGGGAATGGGAGAAAATGGGCTTGAACTTGGGTGGAAGCAGCGCGAGCCTAGGAACAGGAAGCAGCAGGGAGGAGGAGAGGGCACGGGCTTTGGCATCAACCCCATGCTGAGTCTGAAGCCCAGCTCTACCTCGTTCGAGCTGTGTGGCCTCAGGTACATTTATTGACCTCTGTGTCCCCTATATGAATTGGGGGCTAGGGCACCCCCTCCTGGGGTTGTTATGGGGGCCAGTGAGGGAACCGTGCATGTCGAGGGAGGGCCTAGCTAAGTGCCAGCCCTCGGTGGACACCTAATGCGAACCTGGGAACAGTATGATTTCCATGAAGAGAAGACAGATTTCTTGGAGCCTGGGCGCACGGGAGCCACACTTGGACTAGGGGGAGGCCTGGATTAGGGAGCAGGGGCTAGGGGGTCTCTGGACCTTGGCCCCTGAGTGGGAGCCAGCTGGTCTGTGTACCCACAAAATTGCTGACTGGCATCCCTGATAGAGAGGGGACGATCCCTACAAAAGGTGGAAAAGAAACCCAAAACCCCTCAACGTCCCATGGTCGGAGAGATTCCTTGCAGCTTGGGGTGTCCCATTCTAGTTCCTGTTGCCCTCCACCCCTCCTCGCCTGCCCCCCTTAAAAACCCTCGCCCGGCTCCCCTCAGCCCAGAGACAAGCTGGTATTTTCAAAGGCCCGTCTCTCCTGACGAAGAGAGAACAAGAAAACAATTACGGAAAATAAAAATGGCATACAAAAAGGGCATTTCCAAAGCACAGGTTTCTGATCTGACACTGTGGCCTACATGAACGGGGTATTGATTTTTAAACAAAAGAGAAATGAGAAGAAGGACATGTCACTTGGGGCATAGCTGTGCGGACCGCCGAATGGTGGATGGAGCGGCCCTGTGACCCCGGCCCTGTCCCTGCCAGAGGCACCCGTGAGCCAGGCTGGGTTCCTCGGCCCTTGCCTCTGTTCTTGCTCTCAGTGAGTGTGAGTGTGTGTGTGTGGACGTGTGTGTCTATCTCTTCTTCCTTCCCCCCGACACGTCTCCCACGCCCCTACTGTGTGCCAGGCATGCATCAAAGCGGCCTGGCCTCAAGGATGCTCAGAGGCCAGTGAGGGAGGCAGATCTGTAAGGAAACAAGTGCGGGAAAGCCAGTTGGTGGACCACGGGCATTTGCTTCACCGGGCCAACTGCCTACTCACCCCCCGCCCCGTCCTCCCCAAAACTTTATAAGACAGACTTGGGTCCAGAAATCTGTTTTGTAAATAAATCTGCAGAGAATTTTGTTGTACTACCAGATATGAGAACTTGAGCTCTAAAGAGTCCAGAGTTTGTGGTCCAAGACTGTGGAAGGAACTGTGGGCACACGAGGGTGAGAATCAGGGAAGGCTTCATGGAGGAGGTGACTTTTGTGTTGGCGCCTGACAGTTGAGTGTGTATTATCTGGGTGGATGGAGGATTTGTGAGAGTGGAGTGGGGACCCCACGGGATGAAGGGACATCATGGGCAGAGGCACGGAGGTGTGAAACAGCTCCTCTCAGGAACAAGGGAGCAGAAGTGGATGGAGGTGGGTGTAGAGCTGGGCTCGAGCCACTGCTCTGACAGCCCACCTCTGTTGGCCGGTGCCTCCATGAGCTCCGCGGGGCCTCGTGGAACCAAACTGAGATCCCAGCCAGGCCGGGCCAGGTTCTCCCAGGCCTGAGTGAGCCTCGGGTCTCCCTGGGCTCTGGGCCTGGCCCCACTGTCTGCACAGGAAACCTACACTTTTTATCTTTTCGAACCTGGACTGTCAACCCCTTCTCGTGGCTGCCACAGGGAAAGTGCTGCAGCTCGTAGCCAGCCTCCTGGTCCCCCAGCAAGGATTGGGGCAGCGGGGCCCAACTGTCTGGACCCTCATGGTGAAACCCTGACAGCGGGTGGGCAGCAGTGGTGTCAGACGACCTCCTGGGGGCTCCCTGAGCCTGTCAGTTACTCGGGGCGAATCAGACCTCCAGGAGACAGACTCTCTCATCCATTCCTGCCCATCTCTGAGCGGGGCTATAAATATTCAATGACTCAAGACATGGGTTAGCATAATGCCTGGTGCATAGTAAGTGCTCAATAAATGGTAGCTATTGTGATTTTTTAAATTCACTCATTTATTCTGCTTTTAGTCACTCATTTACTCACTTATTCATTCATTTGTTCACCCCAGTTCACTCATTAATTTGGCACAAATTCATTGCACATGTGGCCTGTGTCTACGCTGGGCTTCCCTGGGCCCAGACCCCTCCTGTGACAGGTGGTCCTGAACTTCAGCATCGCTCCACACAGGTCTGGGAATTCAAACACACTCCCGTTCGCCTGTGAGCACGGATACCTTTAACGGCAGCAGTGCCTCTCACCAAACAGGTGACGGCGGACGGCCCCTGGGGGCCCAATGGTGCCGAGTGGCTCAACATGGCACCCACCTTTCCTAAGCCCCAACTAGACGTCCTGTCCGAGAGCCCACAGACTGCCGCGGCAGGTGTGATGTTGATGAAGACACCTGCTTCTTCCAGGAGTTGGCAGCGAGGAATCTGAGGCATGCATATTAATTGATTTAACTCTTTATTTATATATCTCCCTGCCTCTTCCAAGCCTTGGAAAACGCTAAGGACAGTACCAGAGGTGTCGGTTAAGTGTCAACGCAGTGACTCCGGAAGGAGCTCAGAGGAGGGAGAGGACTCATGGGGCAGGGTGGTCAGGGCGGGCTTCCTGGAGGAGGAGTCTGTCAGGTGGGGAGAATGGGCTGAGTGAGAATACAGAGACTGACTGGCTGGCATGGCCGGCAGGGTGGGTTCGTGCAGGGAACCTGAGGGAGGCGGGGCGGCCGGGGGCTGGAGCCCGCCTAGTCGGGGAAGAGCAGGAAGCCGGAGAAGACGCTGTCGGAGCCCTCGGTGCCCACCATGCCGTTGTAGTCGTTGACGGCCAGCCACACCTCCTCGCCCACCTGCAGCCGCAGCAGCACCCCGCCCGAGCTGACCTGCTTGCTGTTGGACATGTGGTCGCAGAAGGTGGTCACCTTGACGCCGCTGCGGAACAGCAGCACGCACAGGTTGGCCGTCTGCGACGTGTGGTGGACAAAGTAATAGAGGCCGGGGACCTTGCAGGTGAACTTGCCCGTGCTCGTGTCGTAGTCCCCCTGCGGGTTGGTGACCACCGTGTTGAACTTGACCAGGCTGTTGGCCGCGGGGAACTGGGACGTCTGCCGCATGACCGTGAACACCGACTGGTGCTTCTGCTTGTACCTGCCCTCCTCGCCTGGCTCCCCGGGGGGGCCCATGAGGCCGGGGACGCCCGCCATCCCAGCGGCTCCCATGGGGCCATTTTTCCCTGGATGGCCGGGTGCGCCGGGTTCTCCCTTCTGACCCTTGGGTCCTCGAGTCCCGGGGATAGCTGGGATTCCTGGGGAGAGAGCAGGCGGGAAGGAAGTGACAGGGCAGGGGACAGGAGAGAAGCAGCCTGGGGCTGTCCTCCAGGGGACACACTACAGGAGTTTGGTTTCCAGCACCTTCTTCCCCAGATGGCCTACTCACCTGGGAGCAGTGTGCAGGGACCAAGAGGGGAGGGAGATCCTGGTTCAGGTCCTGCCTCCCTGCGGACTTGCCCTCTGACCCTGGCTAAGCCCCTCCCCTGTCTCTTGGCCTCAGTTTCCACATTCGTGATGGAGAGGGTAGGACTAGCCAGCTGAGGAGGGGTCCGAGCTGGGCGGGATCTCAGAAAGCATGCCAGAGGCCACGTCTATCAGCCCACAGACAGCACGTGGCCTCAGATTCCTTCTGTTTGGCCTGCACGATGTTTTTAAACTTTCTTTTTAGGGCCCAACATTAACAAATTCAGACCTCACCTAAAAGCCTAGCGTCTTAGTTTTTCTTGACAAAAATCAAAAGATTGGTCAGAGGCAGATTTCCTGGGAAGCTCATGAAACTTAAGCTACAGGCCCCATTAACTTGCACTGGCCCCTTCAAGGCTCTTTGCCTAATTGTATATTTCCAATTGTTTTCAACTTTTTATGTTGAAATAATTCTAGATTCCTAGGAAGTTGCAAAAAAAAAAAAAAAGAGAACAAGGAGGTCTTGTACCCTCCACCTAGTTTTCCCGACGGCACGTCTTGCATAACTGAGAACAACATCCAACCCAGGAAACTGACCTTCATGTAACAACACACAGAGGTCTAGCTGACATGCTCGAGCTGTGTGTGTGTATGGTTCTAGCACAATTTTGTCACGTGTGTAGATTTGTATAACCACCCCCCCGCAATCCATGTATCCGTGAGTCTGTATTATTTTTCTTAAAGGGGACCGTCAACATTCGATAAGCTTCAGAGCCCCACAAAACCTATGTCCGTTCCTGAGATGGAAGCATCCTAGGCCAGCTTAGCACCTGGGAGCCACCGGATGAAGCCAAAGAGAAGCCACCCTCTTAAGAGGGCTGCTCCTTCCAGCTCCCCCAGCCCCGCTCAGCTCACTTCGGCGCCTTATGAAAGGCTGGCCTGGTTCAACTTCCCTCCATGTTACAGATGGGGAAACTGAGGCCAGACCTGCCCAAGGCCAGGCAGCCAGTAGGAGGTGGAGTTAGGACTCAAAGTGATGTCTGGCTGAGTCCCTGTCGGAGTGTCTGATTCTTGTTACCACCCTAATTATCTGAGTGTCTACGAGGTTCTTCTCCCCTTGTCCAAACCATACTCATCTTTTAGGGCCTGGCTCTAGTCTCCTCTTCCAGGAAGCCCTCTCTGACCACCCCTGCTGGCCCTTGTGGCCGCTTCCTCCTCTCACTTCCTTAGGGGTGGGTGTCTGTGCAGACCTATTTGTGACAGCCCCTCTATGGCTTGTGAGCCTTTTAGGTTCCAGGGTTAGGAGTGGGGGTTCAGGACCCAGCAGGCCTAGGCTTCGGCTATGTGACCCCGGGCAGGCGACCTCCCCTCTCTGAGCCTGTTTTCCCAGTTGAGACAAGGGATCCCACAGAGCCGCGGGAAGAGTGGGGTGGGAGAAGGCACGTGCCAGGTGCCTCATAGGAGGTGCTCAGAGTGGCGGGTCCTTGTGATGCCTGTCATGCTGAGCAGGGCTGTCTTGTCCTCCGGGATGTCCTTCTGCCACCAGTTGGGAGCAGCAGGACACAGCAGTGGGGATGGGGCCTGAGAGGCAGTAGGGGGAAGTGATTAAGGGCATGGCCTTTGGAGTTGGACAGGATTCCACTGTGTGGCTTCGGGCAAGTTGCTCAGTCTCTCTGAACCTCAGCTTTGACATTTGTAAAATGGGAGTAAGTTACTTCTTCAAAGGACTTTGGCCTCAGTTTTCTCATTTGTAAAACAGAGTTAATTTTATCTACCCCATGAGATCAATATGTGCAGAGCATTTGGAACTGTGCCTGGCACAAAGCAGGAGCTTGAAAACTGATGCCCATCAGCCCCCGGGGCAGTGTGATGGCCAGACGCAGCTGTGAAGGACAGGGTCCCAAGAAAAGCAGACCTGGGGGCCTCATTCGGCTCACCCTGAGTCAGAGAATTCCTTCTGGAATGTTGGCAAAATTCGACTCTATTGCTGGGAGGGGAGGTGACAGTGGGGAAATTCCTAAGGACACTCCTCTCACCTGGCCTCCCCCGCCCACTGCCTCTGCACCCCATCACCTCTGCCCAACCCACCCAGCCTTACCCACGCCCGCTCCAGACATGCTCCGCCCCCCAGATCCACACCTGCTCAGCCAAGGGACCCCCAGATTCCAGCTCTCACCCAGCACAGCCCCCATTCACGTCCTCAGCCCCCTTCGCTCACACCATGGCTTGCCCAGGACTCTCCTGCTGAAGGGTCTGTGGCTGTGATCCCAACTTCTCACTCCCCACCCCTCCGACCACCCAGAATCCTTGGCAGGAAGGTGAGCACAGATCTCCGATAAAAACAACAACAATAGCAATAGCAACCACACAGCCTGCACTTATCCGGTACCTACCACGTGCTCAGAACTACTTTATATTTAAATGCATTTAATCATCATGGCACCCCTGTGCAGGAGGGATACCATCTCCCCGTTTTACAGATGAGGAAACTGAGGCCCTGCGAGGTTAAGTCACTTGCGCAAGTTCGCACGGTGGGAGGTGGTGGGGCTGGGACTTGGACCCTGGGCGTCTGGCATTGTGTATATTCACGGCGGGGGCCACCTTCCCCCAGGGTCCATGTTACAGGGCTAGTAGCAGAGGGTTGTAATAAATAGTCACCTAGCATGTGAGAGTTTATCAAAGTCTTCACGTGGGTCATCTCCCGCGACACTTCCTGCCACCTTATTCCCTCCCTGTTATCAGATGAGGAAACTGAGGAGCGGAGAGGTGAGCTGGGGAGGCCTGGGCCCTGGGGATGGAGGGACTGGACTTGCTGTGAGTTGGACTCTGCCCTGGGAGCAGGTGTGGCAGGAGGGATCGCACTTCTTGCCATCAAGTTGCAGGCCCCCGTCCCCCAGGTCAGCCCCAGATGGACACTCCGACCCCTGCCCCCAGGCCCTCAGGGCCCCCTCCCCACCAGGCCGGCAGACTCACCTGGCTCACCCTTGGGCCCCGGCAGTCCATCGTGCCCATCCTTCCCTGGCGCCCCGGGCATGCCCGGCATCCCCGGGATCCCGTTGCAGTCTGTGCTGGCCTGGCCCCCCACCAGCAGCGTCAGCAGAAGCAGCAGGATTTTTAGTCCGAGGGGGCTCCGGGAGCTGGACCCCACATCCATCCTGGGGAAGGAGCTGGGTGGGGAGAGAGCTGAGTTGCCACCCAGCCCCTCGCCCATCCTCCTCACCCTCTCACTCCCCAGGGCCGGTCCTCCTCAGCCCTCGGGATCCTGCCTCCCTTCCTCAGGCCCCACACCCCTTGGGACCACACAATGGATGGAGAATCGGGCGTCCCCTTCGAGCCCAGGCCCCGGCTCAGTGGGGAGAGTTGCCCTCCTTCCTCTCACAAATCAAGCTGTCCTGGGACCACGTCTCAGGAAGGCAGCAGGGGGAAAATTGCCATTTGATCTCACCTGGGAAGGGGTCTTGGCCTCACCTGGGGGTGGGAGGTTTCTGGTCTGGTCACAGAGATGTCCTCAGGTCTGCTTCCCCTCTCCCAGGCAGGAGGACACCGTGCCGGAGTGGCCCCAGCAGGGACGGCCCAGAGCAGGCTGGGCGGCCCCCTCCTCTCCTTCGCCCTCCCCCCAGTCCCACATCCCCTTTCCCATAATTTTTCCTGACTTGACACTTTCTTTGGGTGTTGAGCCAGGCTGACCACAGTGACACCCCTGTGTCCCCCCACCCCGGGTCATGAGTGTCTGAAATGAGGAAATGGCTGCTGCTCCGGATCTGGGGAAGGGGGTATGTGTGTACACAAGCCTTCTGGGCAGAGTTCCCCTGGGGTCAAGTTTAGCCCATCTAGTGTCTATCTGCGTTTGTTAGCACCCACTGTCCCCGAGACTCAGTTGTTTCACAACACCCCTAGAAGGGAGTTAACATCCCCTCATGACAGATAAGGAAACTGAGGCTAAGTGGGGGAAATCCAAAGTCACACAGTGAGTGGTTCTTGGGGTCCAAAGCCTTCTTCTCACCCCTCTGCTTAGCTGCCCCCAGAAACAAGCCTCACACGCACTTGTCAAGTGGCAGGCTTTATTCTAGAAACTTCCATATGCCACATCCCATTTGCAGCACTTGGGGGTGGACACTCAGGATGGGCAAGCTTTGACAGCAGGCAGTGCTGTGGTGCACAAGCTGCTCTGGTTACAGAGTCAGCAGCCTCGGGGTCTGCTTCCAGCCCTGCCGCTCCCCTGTCCTGAGGCCTTCAGCAATCCCCTGGCCTCTCTAGGCCTCAGTCTTCCCATATGTATAGGGTGGGCAAGCTTTGCATGTTGGCACCTCTTCCTTTGCTGGGGCCCCTGGTTTCCCTTGATGATCCCATCCTCCCTGCCAGCACCTCCTCCCTCACCTCCACCCCCAGGCCCCTGCCTCTGGTCTTGGAGGCGATTATGGCTCGTGAGGGGTTGCCAGTTGGGGCCAGGCTGGCAGAGCTGAGAGAGGCCCCTCTTCTCTTCCTCTTGTCCTCATACAAGATTCCAGGGAGAAAAGGGGTGAGCAGCAGAGGGTTCCAATCCCAACCCCACTCCTGGCCCCTATGTCACTTGGGGTGAGTGATTTGACGTCCTCTGTAAGTGGGGGTTCCAGCAGCTCCCATGCATGGCGGTGGTGAGGGCTCAGCAGACGCAATGCTAGCCCCATGCTGGGCGTGAGCAGGAGTTCAGAGCCCTGCCCCTGCCTTGCTGAGTGACCCTCAGGGCCTCAGTCTCGCCATCTGTGCCTCCACCCTGTGGCACAGGGCTGCAGAGCGTGGGACGAGAGCAAGGATGTGAATGCCTGTGGCCCTGGGAGCCCCCAGCAGGTGGAGGGCTGGGAAGAGCAGAATCAGGGCACAGCATAGTGCGGTGGTGGGTGACCGGCCCCATGGCGCCCCGGGCTCCCATCTTCTGTCCTTGTGGTGTTCGCTCTTGGGCCTGGCGTGTCCAGCAGGTGGCAGCCTTGGCCCGCGCTCAGCCCTCCCCTGCCCCGCCCGCCGGGCCCAGCTCCTCTCAGGCTCCTTTGCCTCCTCCCGGAGGGGCCAGAGACTTGCCTTGGCACAGGGGTCGGGGTGGGTGGAATTTGGGGGAAGGAGCAGCGCTGCACTCCCTCACCCCCCGTTTCTATAGCCTGGCCTCTCCTGCCACTTACAGGGCCTCTCCCCCTGACATTTTCGTTGAGTCCAATTGCAAGGAAAGGAGCCCTCCTCTTTGGGGTCAGACAGACGTGGTTCGAGTCTAGGCCCTGCCACTTTCTGGGAGGGTAGATGTCTCCTTTCCCTGAGCCTCAGTGTCCTCACCGATTTTGCTGGAATTAAATGCATCCATGGCCATGAACATCCAGCACACAGGGGGTGCCCCAAGACCTGTTTCTTTTCACAGTCTGTGGGGTGTGTTCTGGGCAGAGCAGAGACCCAGAGGGGGCTGAGGGGCCGCGAGGGGTCCAGCCCTGCCCTGGGGCTGCAGAGGGCTCACTCTCTTCTTCCTGACCCCAAAGGCTGCGGACGGGCTGGGCAGTGCAGCCCCAGGAGAGGGTCCTGAGTGTGTCAGAGGCGGGGTGTGTGCGTGAGGACTCGAGGCTGCTCGTGTGTTGGTTAGTAGACGAGAGAGACGGTCCCTGTGTCTCGGAAGTTGGCCCTGAGGGAGTGCGAGTGTGTCTGGAGGCCAACGTGTGAGAGAATGTTTCTAAGGCAGGTGCGTGTTGGAGGGAGGGGAGGTGGTGCACACCGGCGTGTCGGGGCTGTGTCTGGGACACATGTCCTCCGGTGTGTGTGTGTGAGAGTACTGATGGCTGATGGGGGCACTCGGGTGCCTGAGGCATCCCCAAGTGTGTCTGTGGGTTTGAAGGCGTACCTAGTGTGTGTCCAGGGCTGTGCATAGGCGTGTCTAAGGCAGTGGGTGTGCGCTGAGGGAGGGCACCGCTGTGCCCCTGTCTCAGCGGAGAGTGGACAAGTCTCCGTCCAGGAATGTGGGTTCACGTGCGTCTCGAGGGAGGTGTGTGTGCGTGTGTGGTGTACATGTGTAGATTGTGCGTGTGTTCACGTGTGTGTGTGTGCAGCACAGAGATAAAACCGGCTTCTCTGGGAACACGCACAGGGCGTTGGACACTTTCAGGGCTAAACTTCCAGCCTCCTCATTTTCCTCACCTACAAAGGATGCAGTGGGGCTTCTTGCTTCTGAGCAGCTCCCGGACGGGCTAAATGGGACCTGAGAACGCACCACGAACATTCCAGACCCTCCCAGGCCCCTGCGCAGGCGGGATGCCCAGCAGGCAGCAGCCCCAGCCTCCCTGCCTGCCTGGGTGGAAGCCCAGGGCTGGAGTCAAAGACCTGGCTTCGGGGAGGATGGCTGGATGCGCTTGGGCGGATGGCTCCCCCTCTCCCAGCCCTGCCCCTGCCTTTCTGGTTCAGGGTTGGGAAGCACGCATGTCATCTGTCAGGCATGTGCTGTGGCGGCTGGGAGGGCAGCAGTTAAACACACAGGCTTGGGCATCAGTAAGATTTGGCGTCAAATCCCAGTTCCTCTCCTTAAGCGCTGACCTCGGGCTTTATGTCTGCCCTGAACCCTCAGCCTCAGTTTCATTATCTGTACAATAGGGTCGTAACACCCATCTCAGAGCTCGATGGTAAAGATTAAACAAAATGTAACAATAGCCAAAACTTATAAGCCCTGACTATGAACCAGGCACTGCTCTGCAATTTTCATATATTAAGGCATTTAATCCTCCCAATAACCCATTGAGGCCGGTGCCATCACCATTCCCACTTTACAGATAAGGAAACAGATTCACTGGAGTTACGTAACATGCGCAGATCCGCCAGCTGGTAAATAATAGTGGCCCCAGGATCTGAACCCAGGCCGACGAGGCTCCCGGGACCTGCTAAATGCATACTGTAAAATACTAAATACGGGCCTGCCTTGTAAGCACTCAATACTTGCTGTCACTCTAATGCCCCCTCCCACTGCCCAGGGAAGCCAGTGAAGCTCAAGATCAGCAGACATGGGCTCAGGTGTTTATTCCAGGAAGGGGTCTAAGAAACGGATCTCCCTTCAGGCAGCTGAAGCAGGAGCGCCCCCACTTTACAGAGCAGAGCATAGACGCCAGAGAGGTGGCGTGAGTGGGCCGGGGTCACACGGCAGGAAGCAGATGAGGCCAGGGTGGGGAGGGGTCTGTCCCCTGCTCAGGTGGACGGGAAGATGAGGAAACCGCTGAAGATGCTGTCCGCCTCGGAACCCTGGTAAATGCGGCCCTTATTGGGGTCTTTTTCGATCCAGACCTGGTCTCCTTGCTGCAGCTGGAGCACGGTGCCCCCGGACGCCACCTGGAAGATGCCCCTGCTGTTGGTGTCGCAGAAGCCCAAGGAGCGCTGGACCTGGTCTTTCCCGGAGGCCACGATGGACAGGCAGATGTCCCACTTGGACACCACCTGGAAGGTGAAGTAGTAGTAGCCGGGCACGGAGCAGACGAAGCGGCCCGAGTTGCTCTGGTAGCGGTTCTCCTGGTTGGTGATGACCGTGTCAAAGATGACCACATTGCCGCCCAGCGGCGGGTTCCGCCTCACGGCCGAGAAGGCCGGCCGCGGCTGGTCCTTCAAGTTCCCTGGGTTGCCCTTGATGCCCTTCAGTCCTGGGACGCCGGGGGTCCCCAGGGGGCCGCTGGGCCCCGGGTAGCCCATGTTGCCAGGGCTTCCAGGGGGCCCAGGCTCCCCTTGGTCTCCTTTAAGGCCTTGGACACCTGTCCGGATGCCGGGGGCCCCTGTAGAGAGAAAGGCCAGATGCAGAGTAACAGTCTGAGGTCTGCCAGTCCTCAGGGAGACACCTGGGGCCCCGAACTGCTGTGGGATAGAGGATAGGGGTGTGCCCAGGCTTTCAAGACATTGATTCTGACTGGCTGTGTGACCTTGGGCAAGTGTCTCAACCTCTCTGAGCCTCAGCTTCTTTATAAAATGGAAAGAATTGTGAACAGGCACTTGGGACAGTGTCAGGTTCTGGGAAAAGCAGGACACTGGCTCCTCCACTATGATCCTGCCCATGGCCGTGTGTTCCACACCCGCCAGGCCACTGACCCTGACTCCTTCGGGTCCAGGGACTCCATGTGGGACACCCAGATGCAAATTGTTGCAAATGTCTCTGCAGATCTGTTTGGTCTGCTATGGACTGGAGATTCGGGGAGATTACGTGAAACTTTCCTTTCTCATCTGGCCGTGTCCTCCTCCCTTTTCCTTCATCCCCAGCATTTTTTTCTAGAATATGAGAGTTTCTGAAACCTGAAGGTGAAGGGGGAAGCAGGGACATAGTCGGTGGCGGGGGCTGGAAGGAAGCAAAAAGGATAGGTGCCATTAATTGACCCCTGTCTTTGCACCAGGTGGGGTTATTTCTTCATTTCACAGATGAGGAAACTGAGTCTCAGAGAGGGTCAGTAACTTGCTCGAGGTCACACAGCAATTCAAGGGCTCCTGAGTGTAAAGCCTGGGGCGTTAATCGTTCTGGTAACTGAACACGACCGAGGCCTAGGCTCTGCTCTGGGACCTTTCATATTTATAGCTTGCCACGATCCATCCTCCAGAGGAGGAAGAGGAGGCCGAAGCTAGAGGAG